ACCCCCAGACAATGAGGTTGCATCTTCCACGGGGCTGCTTTCCCAAGATGTCTACACAGAGCTCTTTCCCTGGGCTGTCAAACGGAAGGTGATGGTGAAGGACACAGAGAGGAGCTGCCCCACTCACAAGATCCCTGAACTCATTTTTTTTATCCTAATAAGGATATGTACACACCCACCAGGACGGGCATTGCCATGACAACAGCTGAAGTCCAGGGTGAGCAGGTTAGTGGAACAGCATGCTCTCTGGATTCTCCCCAAAGAGCCTGAGGCTGCCCTCAGGAGACATAAAAGATGCTGGCAGCCTCCTAAATGGACTCCAGAAAAACTAACGGGACACAGTCTCTTTGGGAGGACTTATTAGAGATGCAGCCTTCCCTTGAGAACTTGGTTTGGTCAGAAAGGCAAAAATGTATAAAACGAATAAGCACTTGGATCCCCCTATAAAACTAGGACACACAACCATGTCAGTTTCCCACAGAGTAAAGAGAGGTGACAAACCAGGACAAAAGTAATCCTACAAGGAAATAGAGAGGTGGGCACTTAAATAAAATCTCAGTAGCACAGCCTCCCAGAAGAGGTGACTCAGAGAAACTCAGGCTTAAATTTTGAAGGTAAAGAAAGGATAAAGTCATCTCTTCTATGAGAGATCACAAAAAATAGCTTTTTTTTTTTTACTAATTATTTTTCTTTGGACCCTTCAATATGTGAGTTCTATGTCATTCAATTCTCCTAATGACCTCATAAGGAAGACACTATACTTATGCCCATTTTACTGAAAAAGAAACTGAGCACAGAAAGGTCCTGGGGACATACAGCAACCAAGTGGCACAGCGGAAAAACAAAAGAAAACAAAACCGAGGAAGGCTGCTCTGAGTCTGGCATTTGGGTGTCTAGCAATTATCCCTGGGGTCTGGGAAACGACCCTGCTTCCCACAAGAATCACAAGCAGGTGGCTTCTTCACCATTTCCGAGCCTCTAAACATACTCACACCAGAAATATTTACTCTAGCCCAATTCCTTTTGCTGTTACTGATTGTGACTTCAGCTCTGGGGATTGAGCCCGGGGCTTCCCACATGATAGGCAAATGATCTAACATGGAGTTGCATTCTACTGCTCTCTTCACTTTTTGTTTTGAGACAGTGTCTCAGTCTCATTAAGTTGTCCAGGTTGGCCTTGAATTTGCAATCCCCCCTCTGACAGCCCCCTAAGTAAGGAGGGCTTACAGACCTGAATCAACAAACTCACCTCTAGACAAATTCCTAAATTTTAGGGTGCACTGAGAATACATGGAGAGTTCTTCTTAAAGCTCTGCAATCTAGCAAGTGCCTAGATGTTGCTGATACTCTACCGCAGGAACTACACTTGGAGAACCACTGTCTAGTACTCTGAGTTCTCTAGCTAAGCCTCACTGCCTTAGAGCCTATCCCACTCAATTAATCTTTCACTGCTTAGTCCCAGGTCCCCTGGGCCTTCCTTCACATGCTATAAAGTTATCTTTGGCAGTGCTATGTGCCTTGGAATTCCCTGAGGTCTTTTGATAAATAGAGAGAACAGTTATTAACCCCTGTTATCCCTGGTGGGATGGACTCCTGGACCACCATAGACAACCAAATCAGTTGACGTTCAAATCACATATAAAGTGTAAAAAGTATAATGGTTGCCTGTAATATATACATAGATATATAGATATATAGATATATAGATATAGATATATCACATCCTCCTGTGTACTTTATCTCCAGATAAGTGGCAATGTCTAATACAATGAAAACGATGTGTATATTTTTACCTTGTACTATTTAGAAAAGAGTGACAAGGCCTGTGTGCGTCTGGTACAGATGTATTTTTTTGCCACATATTTTTTATTTGTGGTTGGTTGACTCCATGCAGAACTTGGAAGATTCAGTTGGATTGCCTACTCTAAAATTTTGTACTTTTGCTTTAGTGGGTAGTTTAGTAGTTTTTTGTTATTCTTGTTTTGTTTGGAATGGATTTTTTCCCAGAGAGAGTCTTCCATGTAGATTATGCTGGCCTCAACTTGAGATCCTGCTGCTACATCAGCCTCCCTTGTGCTGAAGGGCGCCCTGTCACATCCAGGTTGCACATATCTGGAATTCTTGAGATCCTATGAACTGTACAAAGAGGAGCCTTGAAGGACTGTCAGGCAAGGGCAGCTTGACCCACTGCAGACAGCCAAACCAGTCTCCTGTCTTTCTTAGAAGTTCTTGGGATTTCCTCTGGGAACTAATCCTGAGAGTATTCACTGAGACTTTTTCAGGGCATTCACCCAGATAAAGTTAAAAAGTTGTAACACCTGTCCATGTCTGGCCCTTTAATACCCCTCTCTCTGAAACACATTCCTCTGTCCTCACAGGGGCTGTAACTGTATTTTTTGCATTCACTGTTTAGCTAGTTTTATCTGTGCTCAGTCTCATGGGAAGCTGGAGGGAAATAAAGAGGCATGTGATCCAGGGCTGCTTACACAAAAGGCAGAGCTGGAGAACAGGGGACAGTCACCAGAATTAACCAATTTAATACCTGATTTGTTTATCCTACATAAAACATCACCTATGATGCCTCCATTGATCCCTTCAGAATATAGCTTCTTTACCCTAGGCTTCTGCAGACTGTGAAATTAAATAAACAGCTTACCAACAAAGCAGAAGAATTAAAAAAGGAAAGCAACTCCAGGAAGCCCACACATGAGTAAGGAGCAGGCAGAGCAGGTCCAGGTCCTTTATGCCTGTGGTTACAGCCACTGCCGGTATTGATATGAAAAGGAAAGTTTGGCAAGACACTAGAACAGCTCAGACACAAGTGTAAGGAGCCACAAGCACAAGAAAGAAACCTTCCAGAAGCAAATGCACCTTCGTCATGAAACACTAAGAATGACACAATCAGTGAAAAGCAGGATTTGTTTGGGACTGAAAGCCAAACTTGGAGAAGCATTTTGCTTTTATCCAGGGAGCAATAAATAAACCCTCCTCACCCCATTTTCAGGAGGGTAGCGGTGAGTGACTGGACTGTATAGATGTCCTCAAGGACCCGTATCTGGGCCTACAAATAGAAACAACTGGAAACTCTAACCAGGAGGTTATAAGTCAAGGCCAGACAGCAGATTATGCACCACATGAGTATTTCCCCCTAAAGGGAGTAAAAGGACTACATATGCATTGATGCTACACGTCAACCACTGTGTTCAGCTCTTCTTTTCCTTTGGTTCTCATGACAAGTCAATACAAAGGCATTGCTACACTCAATTTACAGAAAGAACAATTTAAAAGATATGCATTTAGAAACTATGTATGTGCACTCAGTGAGTAAGCGTGGCATTGGAATTCAGCTCAGCCCTCACTCTGAATCATAGTCTTCGTCTTTACGCCATTCCTTGATAAACAACAAAAAGCACACCTTGAGTTCTAATGCCTAAAAGTGCAAAGGACAGGGCAGAAGGCAGAGGAGAATCCTTTTAACTTCATGTAATTGGTGTGGGGGCATTTCAAAAAGCATGGTTAGGTCACCACGGAGCAATTGGAAAATGTGAGTTCTACCCAGTCCATGAGGGCCATGAGTCATGTGTCAGCAGCCAGAAAGAAAGGAGATGCATCATCTGTCTCCATCAGAAAAACAGGGTCATGAATAGTTGGGATAGATTCTCCAGCTCCACTCCTTCCTAAGAAGCTATTGGCAGTGGATAGATGATGGGGGAGGGAGAAATTGCCACTGGTAAGTTTCCCGTTCTCCAGTGCATGGCCCCACAACCATGCACATACAGGCAGTGCTAACTGGACTTAGTGAGCTATCAAAATAAATGACATGAAGTTAGGAAGGGATATGCTGGAGGTATATAAGAAAAGCCGGAAGGGTAAATGGGAATTAGATACAATCATGTTCCATCATATACATATATGAAATGCTCAATAATAAAACATAAAAAAGAATTTGGATGCATTCTACTTGCTGACCAATAGTAAATGCATGGTATGTGTATGTATGGTGTGAATGTATACATGCATCAGGGACATATATTCCTAATATCCTTTTGAATATTAAGAAGAAACCTGGGTCAGAAACATGAAATAACCCATAAATGTTCCCATTTCACATGTGTCTAGAAATCTACATCAACTAATGGCATTCATGAGAAGACATGTTTAAAGCTAGCTTCTAGCTCACCAAACTACCCTATGATGTCTGGATGACAACAGGACTAAGCCTATAGGTAGGAAGGACCTCATGTGTTGCTCTGAGTAGCTCAGAAGTGTCTATGTGCCCCCCACAATGTTTAGCACTCTGAGAACACACTCCTCCCTCGCTTGTTCACTGGCACTGGGGTTGCAGATTTGTTCAATGGCCTCTCTCATGTTCTTGTCCTTACCATCTGCCAATATTAGCTGCCTAATAAATTGCTTCAACTTGTGCATTTTTGACAAATCTTGCTTTCAGTTGACTTGTGAAACACTCATAAATAGCAAATGCTGCTTGATTAGAATAAATGAAAAGTCCTTAGAGTCATCAGCAGAAACTAGGCCCTTAGCTGCACTGCTATTCAGACTAACTATTTGAAAGGCATCTGATTATTTCTGGAAAGAAGTCCTCACCTATACCTTCTTACATCATCTCTCATGTATGTACTCATTTTAATTTTAATTTTAATTTGGGTGGATTCTTACAAGGCAGCATCCTCTACAGCCTTGTTACATATGCCTGGATACACTTGTGTTTGAACCCCATCTCTGCTGCTCAGAAGCTTTGTGAATGTGGGTTCATTTCCGAACATCTATCTCTTCAGTCTCTAAAATGAAATAGGTGTAATAAGTTCTTGGTTATATATTTTCAACTCTTGAAGAACTTCAAGCATGAAATCAAAACAGTTGTGTATATACAGAGATCATGTTTGTGTGGAAGAATTGAAAAGGAGCTGTCTCTTACAAAACCAGGTCACTTGACCAATTTCCAGAACCCAGACCAGAGGGGAGAGGTCCTGACTCTTTACCTGGTGTCGCGCTGGATACTGTTGGCCACTGCTGATCAGGCCCTCCTGGACCAGCCCGTAGAATGCCAGCCTCCTCCAGGTGTACAGAGCTGAGTAAACATACAGACCCAGATAACAGTTAGACCATAAATGCTTTTCCAACTCTCCTCCCACCCTCAGAAATTGCCTCCATTATGAAGGGAGGGCTGCAGCTAACACTCCCTGCTCATACTGAAACTGCAACCATTACTGCTGAACAATCACCTTGTGAAAGTGAAAAACCATCGCTGACTTACTGCCTTCTGTGCCACACCGATAATAACGGGTTCTGTCATTATGGCAGTTCTGGTTTTCAATAATGCTTTGTGGTGCTCATTAAATCTAACAAAAGACCCACAAGAGGACAAACGTCATTTTAACATCTCAGTGATGTTAAACTCCCAACCCTCTCTCAGGTTAAAAACACTAATATTGTCAGCAGTAATATCAGTTTGGCTACCCAACTCATTCCTGGGAGTGGGGGTGCACATGAATCCTAGGTCTCATACATACTTGCCAAGGTCTGAGTTACATCCCCAACCCTTCCTAATTTATTTAAGACAGCATGACACTAAAAGGTCTGGCTTTGAAGTTGCTGATTTTATCTATCTGTCTCCCAAGTAGTTGGAGTTATAGGCATGTGTTATCATACCCAGCCCACTATTTTGTTAGTTTTTCTGAAAAAATATTTTTAAAATATATACTGCAAGAAACAGTAGTACGGACAGACAGTAACAAAAGTATTGCCTGACACCAACCCTGATTAATTCTTAGCATTACTTCTGTTTTATTTTTTCTGTATTGTTCTACAAACAGGTGACTTACTCAACATATCATAAGACAAGAGAAACCCAATTACAGTAATTCATAGATCCACATTCAGAAGAGATTAACTCCGCATGAAACACCACTGGGACCTGACCTGAGAGACCCATGGAGGCTAGCAGAGAGAAAACAAACTATCGGAGGACAGGAAGAATGCTGTGTCTACCAATGTATGTCTATAACTACAGTGGACATCAGAACATCAGAGGAAGAAGGAAAACGGGATCCCAACTCAGTAGCTGGGGAAAATTCTCCAAAGTTGGAGGACACTTTTAAATTAGACATTTGTTTATCCTCAAATTAGCAAAACTTCAGTGACTGAGGGAAGGCCTCACAATGATACAGTGGGTCGTAAGTTGAACAGGAAAGGGGATTTATGTATCCAGCAGTCTCCTGCTCTTCCAATTGCTCCAAATACTCTGGGCAATTCCCTGACTAAGCTGTGACCTAACACCATTATCCTTCATTTCCAACCTAGAATTTTCTAATTTTTTTTTGCAAATATTTATGTCCTTTGGGTGTTTTGGGATCTACCAGCAAATTATATGGACATAAAGATGTAAGTTCCCTGCAACCAGTTCAACTCAAAGCAGACCTGAAAAGTAAAATAAGAGTGACATGATCCCGAGGTTAGACAGGCCAAGAAACCAGTGCACTGTGAAAAGGGAGCATTCTTTAGTTCCCAGTTCTGATGCACTACACCGTGGAAAAAAATACAGTATTTTTATTTCAAATTGTATTTCTTTTCTTACCATTTAAACCTCTTAATACACTAACAAACCTGAACAGGAACAAATTTGGTCATTTGTTTATGGAACAAGAAAGTGATAAATCCTTTTTTTTTTTTTTTTTTTTTTTTGGTTTTTCGAGACAGGGTTTCTCTGTGGCTTTGGAGGCTGTCCTGGAACTACCTCTTGTAGACCAGGCTGGTCTCGATCTCACAGAGATCCGCCTGCCTCTGCCTCCTGAGTGCTGAGATTAAAGGTGTGCACCACCAACGCCCGGCGATAAATCCTTTAATATTTTATTTTTAGCAGTTTTTAAAAAACTGTACCTCACAGCCTTGGTACCTTTCAAGCAAAGCACTAATTCAATCACAATAGTAAAAGCTGATACTGTAAAAAAGAGCTTAATTTACCTAATGCACAGCTCCACAAACATCTCAGCTACACAAAAGCACAGCCCATCTCTAATGAGTATAAAAAGTTGCTCTGATGTCTCACAGAACAGCATCTGCATGAATGTTTCTAGCTTAAAATCATGACCCTGGTTGCAGCATGACATCTCAACAAACCAGCTACAAATCTTCAGCCCTTCCCTGATTGCTCCTGATTCAGAAATAGCACCCACATAATGATCTCTGATCCTTTGTAAGCTTGAGAAGGCACTAATTTATTTTAATCTTATGCATGTTTAATGAGCCAAAATTATATTTTTATTAATTCTACACATACTATTCTATAAGCTTTTTTTTTGGACATTGGCCTAGGTTTGATGAAGACTCAATTAATAATTGCCCAGATATTCTGAGGGGGCTTAAAGCCTAGAGTTCACTTCTTCAAAGTTAAGTCCTTTTGCTAATACAATCATCAGTTTCTTGAGCCCCCTATCTAGTTTCCAAAGACAGTCACAAATAATGAATTTTTCATTTGGCCTCATGGCATGGACACATCAGCTCTGGGAATCAGTTACTGTCAAAGAGACAAAGTAGACAAGACAAAACTATATTAAATCTGGGTCTAAAGCAAGCTAGATTTGGTCTCCAGATACTCAATAAGGTCCTGAACATGACCCATCTCTAAAGAGCCCATGATATTGGCAACAATAAGAGAGCAGTATGATGGGGAAGACAGAAGACTGTCACGGGGCAAACACAGACCACAATAGCTATCATTTATTGTGGCTAATAGTATGTAATAGTCAGGGTAAGCTAGGAGAACAGGGAATATTAAATAGGAAACAACGCATGAAGACACATTCATAATGTAGTCAAATCTGAAAGCTTCTGATTTCTATGAATTAAATTTTTAAGAGAGAGACAGACAGTGTAGGTAAGAGGGGATGAAGGAGTCGGAATCATCATAGGAAACTTAAAATAGTTTGAAGTTGACACAAAAGTTTTTAAGCTGACACATCCTTGTAGGAATTTTGATGAAAGTACAGAAACCTGCCGATGATTCCACATGATATTTTCATTTCCCAGCACTCAATAAGCATTTGGCACTGATTACTTACATGGAGTCAAAAATAATTGCATTCCCTGGGAACAGTTTTTAAAGCTTCTCAATTTAAACAGCTGCTCCTGGCCTGGGGAGACAGAACTTATCTATCAGGGCCCACTTCAAGCTACTCCCAAGTGAAGAAAGGAAGGAAGGGCATACATACCTGTGCATGCCTGCTCTTAGCGAGGCAGAGTAGCGCCAGTCAGGGTTGGGCTGTCGGGGCTGCAAAAATCACAAAAGGAGTTTGCTGTTAACATGACAAATCAATGTGCTCCCAGCGTAGCATTACTCGGTTAGTTGTCCCTTAAATATTTTCATGCATCCAATCAAAAATACCAAACGGGACATTTCGTATGGAATGCTAAAATGAAACCCATAACACATATCACTTTTAGGAGAAAACTAATGATGGCCCAGACTGAACATCAAGGAAATTCATATTTAGGGGTGTTGTGGTGAGGTTCATGTTTAGTTCTGCCCTGGCCAATATTACTCTATTCTCCTAAAACACTAGAGCAGTCTGACTTGCGGTAGGAAAAACTTTCATTGTTTTTACCCTCAAATGCCCCACCAAAGGCACACCTTCCATTCTGTAGTCTAGCTACAACAGAAAACATGATTACACAAATTCTGCCAGCCTGGCTGTACTGCAGAGGACTGCAATCTACTGCTGGCTTTGCCGACTGCAGTGTGTTTGACCCGAGAAGGATGTGTCCACTCATAACACTAGCAACTGCTAGCAGCCTCTTCTACTGATGGAGGAGGCAGAGTGGAGAGAAGAAAACAAGCCATTGCAGTTTGACCTTGTTTTGCCACCTAACCCTTCCCATGATCCTGTGCGGGCTCCCCACCTCTCTCTAAGCCTCCCCACGATCCTGTGCGGGCTCCCCACTCCACTCTCACATTTCACCTTCTCATTCAGTTCTCTTCACTGGGCTCTGATTGCTTAGCAGGAAGTAGCTGAAGTCCATGAAAACCCTGACTCTTTCTGCACCACCCGTGTCCCAGAAAGTAACTTTGTGTGCCCTCTGCCCACAGACTGTCATTCCAAAGTAGAACTGATGAAGAGGAAAGTATGGGCACCTGAAGGCTGAGTGGGAAGGAGCCATGTACCGGTTAGAAGGTACTCAGACTCACCAGAGACTAATCAGGTGTGAATACTAATGTACGGTTGAGTTGGAAAATGGAAATGGGTTGTAATTGTGCTTTCCTCTGGTTACATGACCACAGCTAGTAACATAAAGCTGTGGTAATGCTAATAAACGATTTCAAAGTACAAACTAGACTTTCCCCACATCGTTCAGATAGTTCATGCAAACAATGTGAAGATTTTTCATAAACACACTTCAAAGTTCCCAGAGAACTGATGGGGCCAGAATCCCAACCTTCTAACAGATTTAGGGACGGCTAAGCGGTACCCAGAGAACTGATCAAGGCCTAGAAAAGTGACAACTCTGAATACTATATCAAAGTCTTATTGTTGCCCCCTGCCTCCACCCCACACAAGCTGTCACCTCATTCTCTTGTATTCCACTGGCCGTATATGTAGATGTCACTGGCTTCATCCTTGGTTTTCAAATCTATAACATGCTATTCTTGTTCCATATAAAGTAGCATGAATCACCCACAGACCATATAAAACAAGTTTCCGTTTTCTACAGGTACTGTGAGAGACAACGAAAGAGAATGTTTGTAAATAATTTTATGAACCTGAAAACATGACTGAAATACATCCTATTAAGTTCTCATCACCACCATCTCCTCCTGCCATTGACAGTACCAGTGTCTGCTTGTCCAGGAAGAAAATCTTTTTAGAAAGAATCTGACATCTGCTGAGTGAGTGTTGCTTATTTTTCTATGATTGGGTAACATTCATGATGAAAATCACCAGTTTGATCTTGGGGATGAAATCACTAACCTCGATTTGCTGAAAGGCACAATTCTATCAGGATTATACAATTTTGCTTCCTCAACAACACATTTTTTCATGCTGCTATTTTCAATAACAGTCAATCGGCAACAACATACTTCTCAGATTCATTTGCCAGAATGATAGTTATGAGATTTCTTACGGCAATAAGGTCAGACAGGGACAAAGAAAGGAAGAAAGCAGTTAGTATATTGTAACTCACCATCTAATAGCACACGATGAAATTAGTATCTTTTTCCTAATGCTTTCCTAATCAGACAATACAGTCTGTGAAATTGATTGTAACTGTTTTACTAATAAGACACACAGATATCCCCCACAATATTCACGAATGCAGAATTCATGAACATTTAGAATGTAGCAGAGGTCTGACATTGGATAGGTTTTTAGAGGTGGTGTGTGTGTGTGTGTGTGTGTGTGTGTGTGTGTGTGTGTGTGTGTGTGTGTGTTTCAAGACAAGACAGGGCTCCTCTGTATAACAACTTTAACTGTCCTGGCACTCACTCTGTAACCAGGGCTGGCCTCAAACTCATAGAGATCCACCTGCTTCTGCCTTTCAAGTGCTGAGATCAAAGGTATGTGTCACACCCAGCCTTTTAGAGTAATTTAAATAAATGAACCATCACACAAGTTGTAATAATTGTACTTAAATTATAAAAATGAGTGCTCTTCAAAGACACTAAAGTTGCTTGGTTGGTGAATACATATTTAATTCTACATACCTAGACACTGATCCATCTTAAAACAGTATAAAACTGAAACCCAAAAATGTGTGTGGGTTTCATACAAAATTCGATTAAATCTGGAAAAAGTTCAAGTTGGAAGGCTGACAACCTATGCATCTGCTACAAGATACCAATGCCTTGAACTAACTATGCTCATTTACCTGTGAAATATTTGGACATTATATCTCTTCGTCTTCTATGTTTGTTCACTTGAGAGAAGGCATCATGTGCCCAGGCTGGCTCAAACCACTGTGCCAAGGCTGGTCTTGAACTCTTGGTTCTCCTGACCCTCCCCCCACCCTGTTAACTACTATGATTGCAGACTCAGCCACCACATTTTTGTGTGCTGAATTTCCATTGGTGAAGTACTCCAGTTATTCTTTTAATACAATGATAGTCACAGAACTCTAGATGCAGAAAAAAGTCAATTAGGTAATCCTTGTGGGTGATGTAATATTACTGAAGGACAAAAACCGACTTGCGTTCCTGATAAAATTGTAGCAAAAGTTTAATTTACCCTGATATGAATTATTTATAATTTATGCCATAGGATACTTAAGCAACAGAAGGTGGAGTCACTTCTAAGAAAATTTAAAGTAAAACAGGTTTAAAATATCCTATTATTCATAAACTCACATGAACACTCAGTGAAATAAAATGCTGACTTTTCAGCTGAGCGGTGGTGGCACACGCCTTTAATACCAGCACTGAGGAGGCAGAGGCAGGTGGATCTCTGTGAGTTCAAAGCAGCCTGGTCTACAGAGTGAGTTCCAGGACAGCTAGGGCTGCACAAAGAAACTTTGTCTTGAAAAGCCAAATGCCAAAAACCAACAACAACAGCAACAACGAAACCACTATCTTCTTACTATGCATACTGATATTGAATTTGTCAATAAACTGCTCTTTGAAACTTGAAACCATATGTAATATCTTCTTTTTAGTTCGGAATGTATCTACAGCCAATTTTCAGAGTGCTATGTACTAGACATTGATCTAAATTGCAGTAGGCAGAATGCAAAGACAACCTCAAGACCTCTACACCAAACGTACATGTCCTGTATAATCTCAAGACTCAGAGTGTGCTGACCTATCCCCACAGTTGGGTTTATACCGCTCAGCTGTCTTTTTTTAAAGCCGGATTATCCAAGTACGGCTAACCCAGTCACAAGAGCCTTTGACACCCAGCTCTAGAAGTTCCAGACAGAAGGAAGCCAGAAAGATGGGAAAGCATGAGTGAGACTCCATGTGACAGGTGAGAGCGTGTCACGTGACAGGACATAAGACCGGCCTCCCTGAGCTGAGAGCAATGGCCCCTCCTTGGTCCCAGCAAAAAGAGATAAGCCAGCATAGGACTCTGTCCCCAAGGAACAGAACTTTGCCAACAATCTGAATGAATTTCCAAGTAGATTCTTCTCCAGAGCCCCCAAAGGAATACCTAGCCATTAGGTGCTGAAGTTTTTAGCTTTGTGAAAACTGAAGTGAAAAATTCAACCACACAGCACAGGACTGTGAGACACTAAATGGATGAGGTTTTAACCACTAATTCATGGTAATTTGTTACAAAGCAATAGAAAAAGAGCACACGAAATATGACACTGAAAATAATTATCATGACTATATATTACATATTGGTCTTTCAGTAAATCAAAATTTGTAAGAAGGTAAACTTGAGGATTCTGGGTAGAACCCTTCCTTCCAAGTACAACATGTAAACTCCAAGCTATGGGGCGGGAAAGAAAAATAAATTAAAATATGCACGATAAGTTCTCGGACAACAGAAAGTGCAAGGTCTGCTATGTTGCATGCACAGCTGCAGTACAGCAGCTACTCTCTTACACACAGCTGCACCTCCCAGAGCCAGCAAGGCCAGAAACAGACTTTTCTCTTCACCCTTGCAATGTCAGATATTTCTTTGCATGTGCCAAGTTCAAAGTCTTGAAAAGAAAGAGCCTGCATAATTTTTAGGTTAGCAGATCTGAAACATTGTTAAATAGTTCTCTTGACCTCTGAACTTTAAAGTCATGGCTAACAGATTATACTGGTCAAAATATTAAACTAATTGGATAAATTATGTTCATATTGTAGTATACTTGAAAATTCTGATCCAAGTGAGATTCTGTAAAAGTCACATTTTAAAAACACCTGTAAAAACAAACATCCAAACCAAAAAAAAAAAAAAAAGCCAATGCCAACAGTGGTGGTACATTTTTAGTCTCAGCACTCAGGAGGCAGAGGCAGGTCTACAGAGTGAGTTCAAGGCCAGTCTGGTCTGTGTAGTGATCTCCAGGACAGCCAGAGCTACAGAGAAACCCTGCCTCGAAAAACCAAACTAAATCAAATCAAAGCAAAACGACAAATAATTGCAGCTGTGATAACAGAGACAGGTGACATGAAATCAGAATGGGAGCCATGTGAAAGGAGGGAGGACACTAGCTGGTGGAGGGAGAACCAATAGAAAGGACGTAAGAAAACTCCATGATGCACCAGTTGTTTTGTATGATAGCAGGAGGAGGAAGAGGAGGAGGAGGAGGAGGAAGAAGGAAAGAAGGGAGGCGGGGGAGAGGAAT